AGTCTCGCTTCTAATCACCCATCTCCCGGCTCATGGCACAATTAATGTCTTTGATTCTGACTTATTGATTTCTGTCCATCATCAGGTGGCCGGTACCATGAAGCTGGAGCTGGCCCAGTACCGTGAGGTGGCTGCCTTCGCCCAGTTTGGTTCTGACTTGGACGCTGCCACTCAGCAGCTGCTGAACCGTGGTGTTCGTCTGACTGAGCTCCTCAAACAGGGGCAGTACTGTGAGTTACTGCTACTGTTCATTTCAGTGCTGAAAATGGAGTACGTGGACATGTCTTTCAGAAAATCTGTCAATTCCAGCGTTGTCTTAACTACTATACCTGTGCACTTTTGTTCTGCAGCTCCCATGGCTATTGAAGAGCAGGTAACAGTCATTTATGCTGGTGTGAGGGGACACCTGGACAAAATGGAGCCTAGCAAGATCACCAAGTTCGAGAAGGCGTTCCTGCAGCACATACTGAGCCAGCACCAAGACCTGCTGGCAGCTATTAGGTAAGTTAAAGGGCTTTGAGGTGGAAGCATGTGTGATACTATATATATATATATATATTTTTTTTTTTTTTTTTTTTTTTTTTGCATTGTAATTTATATTTGCATATGTATTGTAACCAATCTCTCCTTCATTACAGGGCTGATGGCAAAATCTCTGAGGCATCTGATGCCAAACTCAAGCAGATTGTGTTGACTTTCCTCTCCAGCTTTGAGTAAAGTGATGCATTTTGGTCTAGTTGTTTTCATGTTTGCATAGTGCAGCGTCAGTTATACTTTCTATGAACTTGAACCAAGAAAACATTCAAGTGGCACTTGATCTTTAATGTACAGACATCTCTTAACGGAGAATAAAGTATTCCAACTAACTGACTTTATCGCCTCTTTTGGTGTTCAGAGCACTTTTGTCACTTGTAATATACATCAACTTATGTTTTCTCACACCATGATTTGCAATTCATACTGATCATATAACACAGTAAAATTATTGAAACCACACCTATGAACTATTTCTCAAAATCCATCCTCAGATTTCTTGAGCAGAACTTCAGGAGATTATAGTGAGATGCTGCTTTAGTTGCCACATGTCATTCAGAAGCCAGTTTGCAGTAAATATATATATATATATACACAAGTATAAATGAAAACGTCATTGACTGACAATTCTGATCCAATTCTAATCTTTGATTATAATGTAGAAAAGTTGTATACTTTTAAGTTGAAGTAAATGTTTGAGGTCATTCTCATGTATGGAATTGCTGCAATCCTGCATGAGGGTTGTGATGAGGAGCTTTTATGTTATACTTGGAATATCCCTCTTCAATGAATATTATTTTTGCTCGACTCCTTGAAAGGTTGCCTCTTGGTAGCTATGTCTTTTATATTGTATTTATAAAAGCTACCATTAAGTGTTTAGTGATTATCCACTAATATTTCACAATGTAGTATAAGACAACACTAAAGGCTCCCTATCATGAAAAAACTCAAACACTAGCACTAACCACACTACAGTGCCTCCTGCTGGTGAGGAGCAGCACATGACGCGTCAATCAGAAAAATCCTCTTAAAATACTTATACATTGTCTATTTAGTGGAATAGACAGTAATCAATAGGCACTTAATCAAATCCTAAATTAGTCTTTATTGGTCAGAGTGAATCAAAACAAAACAACAAAAGCAGTGACTATAAATCAAATGTGTTGAATGATTATGAAATCCAGAACTGTCTGAACAGCCCTGAAGTTACAAAATGGTGACAATAATTCATATGAACATAAGTGAAAGGTGCACAGTAAACATTTCACAGTCATGTCAGTGAAGGTGCATAATAAATATTTCACAATTTGAACGTTGCTGAGTGAAGACATTAAAAAAAAAAATTCAAACTAGAGTAAAGTCGTAGTGATTATTAGTGAGTCAATTTAAATACATCAATTAAATCAGTGTCTTTCTGAAAAAGAAATGTAAATAAGTTATTTAAATAAGATTAAATAAATAAGTCATAAAAATAAATAATCATTAAAAGTACTTATATCACACCCAGTACTGTTTAGTGTGTATTGCAGGCCTGTGGTGTTTATGTTTGGGGACATTATTCTGTTTGACGTAGCAGGGGTCATAATAATCCCACTCCAAAGCTGAGGCCAGCACACCGTTGGACAGACCGTCACTGTCTGCAGACAAAATCCGCAGGGAGACACCTGAAAAGAATTCACGTTTCACGACGTTGTTTAAATAGAATTATCACGGGTACAAATTTAAAACCTGCGAGTCCCTTTGTGTCACCTCATATATAACAAATTAAAGTGCAGCTGACAGCCTAGCACGTGGACACTTTCATATTCATTTGCTTACAAAAAAGCTGCCTCAAATTATTTACAGTAGATTCACCCAATATTATAATATACTACTCAAATTCTTTAGATATAGAACCTATACAGTATTATATGGGGCATGTAACTGACTTCAATCAGTACTCCCCCCGACTTTTCCATTAAACCAGTAAAACTGCTCCCTGCACGACTTCATTCAGAAAGCAAGATGCTTCAAAATATAATTATACTGTGCTCCCAGTCTACCTGTCTACCGGCCAGTTAGATGCAGCAGTAACATTGGTTATTAATGAGAGTCATATTGATTACAGTGCAGCTGAAGAAGACTGAAGCGTACCTGCACTTGCACCAAAGTCGCTGTCGAGTCCAGGACCCACTGCAGATGTGTTCAGGCAAGACATCTCTGAGGGTAGGTTGGTGTACTCACACTCCATATCTACTTTGTCAAACACGTGCACTGCGACACTTGGGTTCACATCTGTCAGCATCTCGTACGGGCTGCTCCGACAAATATAACCCACATGTTCTATCTCCTGCTGTGAGCAAAGGAAAAAAAAAGAAAATAAATAATGAAAGCTTTTACAGTTATTGCTCTGTGCATTGACTTGTTTGGCATAAACCAGTCAGAACAGGGTGTAGTATAAGCAGTGACATTTATAAAGGCCTATTGAACACAGTGACTGACATGTGCTCTAAAACCTGCAGGAGAGAAGCAGCAAGGAGAGCTTTTGCACCAAAGATGAGATCAACAGAGAGACTGGATTAATTACTAGAATGTGTGGGTGTCAAATATCTGACATGAATAAACTAAGATGTAACTGATTTAAATCAAAACCAGCCTACTAACCGATCAATATTATGCAACACGAACATGTAACTCACCAAGAAGAGACACTAGATATTATCATTTCAGAACATTATATTTTTTCTACATTTTACAACAATAAGTCAAAATATCTCTATTATGTGTTGACAATAAAATATATGTACAGATCAGAATCAAAAATTTTCAATATTCAAAATATAATGAAATTTGGAGTATCATCTTCACTGTGTAGCACGGCTGGACTACCAACCAGGCGACTGGGCAACTGTCCCAGGGGCCACAGACAAAGGTATGGCAGTAAGTTTGTGGTAATTTGAATAATTGAAACTTTGTCTGCTTATTATGGGACCCTGCAACACTGAAGTAAATATCAACAGACATAAAAAGGGCTTAAAGGTGGGTCCTGCTTATTGAGTCCCAGTGTCAAAATCTAACACCTTCACTATTTTACCCAATTTTGTGCTTACATGGTGCATATTTAAGAATTTGTATTTAATCATATTACCATGGGAAACCCCTGTACACAATGACCAGAGAGGAAGAGTAGGTTAGTAGAGGGATTGCAGCTCATTTTTGCCCTGGGGTCCCCAAGCTGTATAGTTCATTACTGGGATTTGAACCTGTCAATTTCCACTGTGAGAGAACAACTTCAACTTCTCTTCCTGGTTCGTTTAGGTGCTGATCACTCACCGTGGGAGAGTTTGGTGGAACTAGGTTCACTCTGGTTTCGGCCTCTGAGTCACTGGACTGCGGTAACAGTGGTGCGCTTCTACACCAGCCCGCCTTGCTGACGCTGTGAGTCCGTGAGCCGGATGGCAGGTCAAGTCTTGGGGTGAAACCAGCTGCAGAGGAAGTGGCCCGGATGGTGCTCGGCGCCCTCAGGGACCCTGAGCCGGTGGCACCATCTGGCCTTAAGAGACGAATCCTGTGATCCACCCCGACCCTCTCCCTGGATGAAGCCCTGGAAGAAGTGACAGGATGCGGCAGGACAGGCTCCGACACAGACATGTACGCTCTCCTCCCGGCCTGCAGCGAGGGTTCTCTGGTGACTCTTTGCAGTGTGGACTGTAAGAGCATCTCCTCTGCGTCCTCTCGTTTCTGTCTGTTGTTGCTCTTTGACAGGATCAGTAACTTGTATCCCAGGAAGAGGCAGTTGAGCAGAAGCAGGATGACCACGCAGGGTATGAGCAGAAGGACGACTAAAGTCAGGTTTGTCACAGGGTAACCTTCTGTCAGATTTGATGGTGTGGTCTGACTTATGTGCGACATTTCATTCCAGAGGATTGAAAAGGTTAATTTTAGAGAATTGCTGACCTCAGCTGAGATCTCACGTTGTCTCGGAAAGCACAGGTGGTTTGATGTGTCAATCAATGTGGACTACTTTTGAGTTTGAAAGGATTTTTTGTATCTAACAACAACATGCCAGCCTGTTTGTCAAATGCATACAGTCTCCAAATGTTTGTTTGTGACTTTATCGCCCCTGTCTTCGTCATTGTGGACTAATACTCTCAGTGTTATCAAAGCAAAGGTTTGATCTGAGACCACTGGGTAACGCGCACTCAAGCTGGCAGCCACACAAATTACACAGCAGCAGGTGTGTCTCATTATTTGCAGGATGTGTCGCTTTGTCGTAGCAACCAATCACCGCTAGGTGGCAGCAGGTGGTCAGATCAGACTCCTGCATCACTGCATCTAAAAGCTCTGCAGTGAACTGGAAGATTTTCATGCACTGAATTGTGATTTTTATGGACTGCAATGTCTCATAGTTTGTCGAGGACTTTTGTAGTCCACTTATTGACTTGCAAAATGCATGTTTATCACAAAAGAACAGTGGAGAACAGAAGTGAAATTATAGTTTTTATTTATTTTTCATGCTTCCAAATATGCCTATGTCAGGTAATAATACATCAACAGCTGGCTCATTGCAGAATATATACAAACATTTCAAATAATTCAATAGAACATTTGACAGATGAATCTCTCTTAGAGACAATGTTTTTGCATTTTGTACACAAAGTAGATCTTTGTACACAAGTACATTTTGCTATTGTAATAAATCAATGCAAAAGATCAGTCATATGAAAACCATATAACTATAATAAAGTTTTTTTTTTTTTACTTCACATTTCTACCATTCAGGTTTAAGTAAGTCTTTACAGACTTGAATAGCACACTGATATCCTGCTATAGGTTTGCAAGTATAACAGTACAGATAACCTTTTCATTCAAGACAAAGGCTATTGAGTCAATAGACGCCCTCAGATACCAAAGACCTTGTTCATCAGTTCTGAACTCACTGCTCATGTGGCATTGGTGCATCGTGCCTAATACCTGCAGAAAGTCTCCTCACAAAGTCCTGTCTGAACTACAACTCACGTCAGCGCTGCTTGCCATTTCCAAACACAAGAAGAGGTTGTGATTGGTTGTGATAGTTAGCACCTTGGGCAAGGCTGTGTTTGTGAATTGATAACAACATACACACATGGTGGAGCTGTGCCAATCCTGTGGTTTAAAGAAAGCAGACTAACACTGGGCCAGGCTGTGCTTGATGATCTCGCGGGACTGTGGTGGGATCCTGTCGGGGAAGAGCACCTGGAACTCCACCACCAAGTCGCCTCTCTGGGACGGGCTCTTGGGCAGGGGCAGACCTTCGCCCCTCAGCCTCCGGACGGCACCAGGTTTGATAACATCACTGCATGGTAGAGGCATCATCCGGTTGTCGAGTGTGGGGACATTGACAGTGCAGCCACAGAGAGCCTGGAGACAAAAAAATGAATAAAAAGTTAGTCCTGTAGACCTGTTATATTTAGAACAAGTTTCATAATGGACTGGAATGAAGAACACTCAACAAAAAAATAAATTAAATGCCTGATCTATAAAAGTGTCATGTTGCATAACAGATAAATATGGAGTCTCTGTCTTTCTAAAAGCATAAGGATTTTCACTTATGCAACAAACTGGTGTTACAGATGTTATAATTGCTGCTCTATTTACTGGCTGTGTGTGGGAGTTAAGTGCTTTAGTGACTGGAGGGAGCCATAGGAAGATGGAGGAGCTCTTTGAAATGCCAGTCTCTGTGACTGCTACCCTGCTAATCTGTGTGTGGGTTGGTAGAAGTGAGAGCCAGAGATTGAGCGAGCCAAAAAAAAGAAAAAAAAAAACCCGCCTCCCTGCCTGCCTCGTACAGGCAGAGGAGTCTGCGGCACACATAGTAGAGAGGGAGAGTGAAGTGCGATTCGTGGGGGCAGTCAGTGCTGAGGCTAAATTTAGCTCCTGCTCTCTCTCTCTCTACAGGGGCTGATGAGGTAACGGAGGCGTTGGCAGGCTACTGCTGCTGTTCTGTTAGCGGGGGTCTGTCAGCCCATTGTAAACTGGGGGCTCAGATGCCCATAAGAGAACACTGTGTACTGTCTTCAGACTACAATCAAATATTACCCTCCCTGCTTTTGGCAGAGACCAGACCTTCTGCCTTACGTTTTATTGACGCCTTTCAGTAATTGATTTCTTTTGGTATTTCAGAAAACGCATTATTCAACAGTTATATAAAGACAAGAAGTGGTGGACGGAGTTTAGCCTTTCTCTGAGTAGGTGTAAGTGGTTGGAAGAATTACCTAGTATATCTACGTATACACCAGTCATATGTTTCATAATATATCATTCATTTAGTCAGGAGTGATGGCCTCTGTGGGAGTCAAACTCTTAAGCCTGATAAACCTGATGTAAATGCAGAAAACTCACCTCTTTGAGGGTGATCTTGGCCGTGTAGACAATGTTGGAGCCCTCTCTCTTGTACTGAGAGTGCTCCTCATCCCTGAGAATGAAGGTGATGTCTGCAGGGGTGTTGTTGGGCGTCTCATCCCCCTCCCTGGGGAAGGTGATCTTGGTCCCCGCTTTCCAGCCTTTCTTCACCACCACATTTAGCACCTTGTCTTCAGATCGCAGGCTGCGGCCGTCAGGGTTGAGCCGGCTGCGGGTGATCTTCACGTGCTTGGTGCAGCCGTGCATCACATCATCAAGGGTCACCAGCAGGTCGTGCACTACTGCATCGCCCTGCAGGCGTCGCTGGCCTCTTCGCAGCCCACCCTCATTGCCGGCAAACCCGCCCACGTGGCTGAAGGTGAACCGTCTGAAAGGGTTGAAGAGGTCATCTTCACCGTCATTTTCACTGCCGAAGAAGATGTCGAAGTGGTCGGAACCATGGAAGAAGGAGGAGAAGGTGGCATGGGGGTCGCTGGGGAAATTATTGCGGAAAACGTTGCCTTGGCCTGCCAGTGACATTCCATTTTTGAGGCCTAAAAACACAGAGAAAACACAAAAAGTTAAATTAAATTTCTGCACATCTGATGCTGCTTTCATGCAAATTCTGCCTTTACTAAACATCAGCTCTTTAGGAATATTCAGGAAAACTCTTTCACTGCTCCCTGAATAATTTATCAGCCCCACAGCTGTCTATGCTGCACATGTTTGGCTGGTTTAATAGGGGTGGTGGTGTTTTAATCATGATTCTCCCCCTGCTCATCAGTATTTAGCATTGATGAAGACATGAACAGTTAGTGCAGCAGTTTATGCCACGCCAATTAGCCAGATGACAGTTACTCTTTAAGCTATTTAACTCATGTAAATGAAGTCCCAACAGTGTCAAGTCTCCCTCACTCTCACCTTCTTCTCCAAACTGGTCGTATATGCTTCTCTTCTTGGGGTCAGTCAGGATCTCGTAGGCCTCAGCGATCTCTTTGAACTTGTCCTCTGCATCAGCATCGCTGTTCTTGTCTGGGTGGAACTTGAGAGCCATCTTCCTGTAGGCCTTCTTGATCTCATCTTCATTGGATTCAGGGGCCACACCCAGGATTTTGTAGAAGTCCTTGCCTGTGGGTTTGATGGACAGGCAGGGTGTGTCCTGCTCAGACCTGCTGCTTTCCTGTAGAAGCAAAAACAGCCATGCATTCATTGAACCATTCATAAAACCCGGTCAAACAATTCACTTATTTTGTCTTTAAAGTCTTGAAATCTTTTTTGGCAATGATGTATGGTCTTCTCAAGGGTTAGATGCTTTGAAGGACTGAACAACTAATAGGCATGTAAATTAAAATATTCACCCCCTGGAATACAGCACAGAATGGCTGAGCAACCCCCACAGTAACTGATGTACAGCATCTATATAAATATGCAGCAGAATCAGCCCCGCAGCAAAAACACCAGCTTATCTCTCTGTGCTGCTATGCAACTGCACATCCCTGAATTTTACAGGCTGATGCACAACACAACGTGACAAAAGGGGGGAAGTCGTGTGAGGGGCAAAAGACTTTCCCCTCAACGACCGAGATTCTCTGCAGAGATTGGCTGAACGGGAATAGGCGACTCTTGCATTTGAATGAAACCACGGCAACAGACACAAGATAGTGAGGATAAGTTATAGAGAAAGGTGCCGGTGGATCAGCGAATTAACTTATATAACGCGCTTTGTATGAAACTTAAGCATTCTAGCTGTGTGTTTAACTTGATGTAATTTAAGTCATTAATCATTTAAGAGGCTTTACAAGAGAAGCAAAAAATGAAAAGCTTGAAAAAGAAACTTTCTAAAAAATGTACTTACCGCTGATGATGATGAGCCTGAGCTGTCGCCTCTGTGCATAACTCGCACTTTGCACTTGACATTGACATTTTTGTGCTTCATACCGAACTGTGTCCAGATGAGAACCATGATGCTCAGTTAGAAAGTTTTCTTTGTATTGTATTTGTGGGGCTACGTGTCGCTGTCCGGTCGCGCTGGTGCTGAAATCTCTCTGCTTCGTCCTGTCTGCTGCTGCTGCTGCTCTTCTCCTCTGCTCTCCTCGGCTCTCTGATAAATACCGCCGCGGCAGCTCCTTTACTATACACGCACCCACCCACGCAGCGTGACCGAGCTTTCCCCGGATCCGCCCATTTCTTCACGCGCGGCAGGGGATGCCGGTGTCCTCAGATTGCTCGGTGCAAGGCCATTGGTGCTCCTGCGATGATCACGCGGATGTTGCAGCCTCCTTCTCCATCTGGAGACTTGCTTCCGGAGTTCTTGAAGGCAGAGCCGAGCAGACAGTCACGACTCAGTACAGAGAGTACTTTTTTTATTCAGACAGAACAGAACAGAACAACCAGACATACAAATATAAAAAAAAACACCCTGCTGCTGCCCAGACAATCTCTAGACAGTCTCCCGCTCACTGATGGAGCCCCTGTCCTCAAGTGACTTCTTATGTAGGCTACATATTGTACATTTGAATATCAGTTTCAAACATTAAACCTATTTAACTTTGCTGTAGGTGAGAGAATGCATCAAAGTGAACAACCTGTTTCTTACTATAGCTATTTTAAGTAGCCTATAATTCTGCAGTGATACCTGAAGTTAAGCATGTGTAGAGATTAGATTATGTGATCAGTAAGTATTTACATAGGGCTGACACAGTAACATGAACACCTATGCAGTCTAATGCATTTTAATGAAAAAGCAGTGGCAAAAGAATACCTCACATCCAATACATTCATGTAAAATACTCAATTGCAAGTAAAAGTAATGCATTCAAAATCCTATTAAAGTAAAAAGGCCTTTGTGACTGATGCATTCCTACACATCACATTGTTAGATTGTAAATATTGATGCATCAGCAGCCTTTTATTCTTATAGCTTGTCTAGGTGGAGCTAGTTTGAACTGCTTTATATACAGTTAGGTAGTTTAGTCCAGTGGTTCCCAACCCAGGGATTGAGCCCTCAAAAGAGTCACAAGAGGGGCCATGAGATGATTTTTTATTTTTTTACTTTGAATACTTACATTTAAATAGATCTTAATCTTTTATCTATTAGTTCATCCTTGGGCAATAAACAGATGTGATATGTGATATCCTCTTTAATGAGACTAAAACAGATAAGGCTGAAGGCAAAGCTTATTATGCCCTTCTACATTCAAATATTATATTCCCCATATTCAAAGTAAATAAATCAATAAATAACTGTAAAGTTCCCAAAACAAACAAAGAAACAAACAACAGATAATACAATTTTACATAAAAATGTAATGTCCAAAGAAAAACAACATTTTAGACTATATTCTTGTACTTATTGAGTGAATTATATTTGAACACTTTCTTAGTAGGAAAGAACAAAAAACAAAGCAACATAGCACACATTTGTATTCATTCTCTAGCTTGGATGATGATGAAACTATCTGAGAAGTTTAGAGGACACATCACTCTTTGTTTGAACATCTGACAGCTCATATCTGAAACAGCACCACTTGTTAAGTCTTCAACAGTGTTGTATTTTAGGTTAAAATCTTAATCTGAAAAGTAACCAGTAACTCTATAAACCTGGCAGAGTAGAAGTATAAAGCTGTATATAATGAAAATACTCAACAATTTTTGTAGCTGTTCTCTGTTGTTGTGGATTGCATTATATCATATCCCCAAGCCCCCATAAATACAGAAGAGTTAGATGTTGGGGAGAAAGAACCTAGAAATTTACCACCACAAATTACAGCCTTAAAAGTTTCCATTGAGTACCACTTTAAATGTATCCAGTTTTATTTCCTGTAGCTGAAATCAACTTGGACCCAAACGGTTGTGTTAATGGAGCTCCACTGAAAAGGTCAGTACGCTTTACAGAGGCAGTATTTACTGAATGGTTCTTCTATCATTTGGACTGTGCAGGTGTTCATGTAATTGCATCCACCCCCGTAGTTCTGCATAGTAATAAAGTGCAATACAGACCATGAATGCAATCCAATGCAAATGAGACACTTAATAACCTACAGCAAACAGCTGTAGAAGTTATGTAACTGAATGTGTTAAAAACTGAATGTGTTAAAAACCTTGTGTTGTCTGGTAACAGTTCAAATATAGACAGGTGACAACTGACAGGAAAAACCAACATAAATTGTCTTAGTAAGGTGTTGAGCCAACATGCAGCTGCAACTCCCAAAAGTACCTTTTGACCCCGGCTGCCACCCCAGTTTTAGACAGTCAAATTTAAAAGTCTATAACTAAAAAGTTGTGGAAGGTCAGACGTTTACAAGAGTGAAACTCCAATGTCCAAGTGCAAGCGAATGCAGCATGAGATGACCGTCCTACGCTCAGCTACACCATTGTCTTCCAGACCCTCCTAAAGTGAAATCTCATTGGATATTTACAGGGCTGCCTCCACTCTGTAGCCAGAAAGCTAACAAACAACAGCAGACAAGCTGGAATACTTTTATGGAAAAACCCTTTTGATTTTTGTGATCTGTGGACCCTTATGAACTAAAGGAATATAAATATTGGCGGAATGGAGGGAGAATCCGAGTTCTACATGTCTCAAAGGTAGGCAGCCACTGCTCCGATTAATGTGCTCATGGTTAGTGCAAAATGAACTGAATATTTCAATTCTAGAGGCTCTAAGGAGGTACTGCCTGTCTAGTTCAGAACCTTCTGGTGGGTCCGTGGATGGGCCAACGGGCCTTATGACGTTAATAAATTAGAAAGATTTGTGCAAGGCTGGTCTAGTCCATGTTTGCTAGCTAGCAAATGTGGCTGAATGCTTGATAGTTTTGATAAAAAGTTTATATACATGCTCAAATATGTTAACTTCGGGTAGGTAACAAGCAAGCTAATTAACACAGCCTAGGCCTCTACGTGAGAAGTTATGAGGATGGGGTGGAGATGTGGGATAGACAGAAATTTCATCCGCATAAAATATGAAAGAGACACACAGCCATGTGATTTTACCCAGCCACTGTTTGCTGTCCCTGCAGCCATTATGTCGTACATGATGGTAAGCTGAATGTTTTTAGTTTTTGTCTGACAAAACAGAAATTTTAAGATGTCACATTGGGTTGTAGGAAATTCATGACCATTGTAGTAATTATTACTTTCAGGCCTAAACGTTACCACATTTAATTATGATGGTTATGATACAAATTAAAGTTAAAGTATCTGCTATAGTGAAACAATGGTGCACTATTCAGAGAGATAATGTTCGGTTTCTCTGTCTCTGTTCAGTTTCTTCTACAGTCTATCCTCTGTCCACTGTTTCTTAGCACTGACATTATGGTTTCACTACAGCACAGTATAATTTTGTAGTTGTTTATTTTCCTCCTTATAAAAATGCAAATTTATGATCCACACAAAAGGTTTTTGGATATAAGTCTTTTCATGTAACTAATCAGACAACCCTCAATTCAACAAAAATATCCATCCCCTTTTCTTATCCTATTTCTCCCATAATAATTTCTGTGCAGTCCCTAACCAGTACAACTCCTTGTGAAGATAAAAGAAGTAATCAGATAAAATCTCTTTGTGATGGCTCATTTAATATTTAAATATCTCACAGAACCACATACTCTTGTTGACTTAAAAGTAATCACAGGAAGGCCACTCTTGATGAAATGCAGCAAGTCATCTGCTTGAATGCCACTTTCACCCCCATTGACAAATAGTCAGTATTTCTATTTAGAGATCATACTACACATACTGCAGGATTACAGCAGAGATCCGACTGTGCAGCCGGCAGTGCAGCCAATGGATATGGAAATCAGTTTCACAGGGAGCGTACATACATGGCAATGCTTCCTCTGCTGTGATGCTTCATACATCCAATGGGGGATGGAGTTTCCTGGAGATTCTCCTTTCGTCGTACAGGAAGCGGCAGACAAATTTGGTTTGCACATGATGAGCCAGGAGCGTCACGCACCAGATAGCAACTCTACCTTACTATTCACAGATTGAACAGGATAGAGTGAATCAGAACAGCCTCTTTCACAACGCTCATTCGTCCTGCCCACGGGAACAGTCTGACTGTGTGCTTGGCCTGTTTATCACACATTCACACCCTCTCTCATAGAAACACATACAACAGTGCCTGTCAGTCTCAGATATAATAATGCTAATTAAAGCACCAAGCTGCACTGGCACGGTTATTGTTAGGCAGTGAGAAGGTGGACAGCTCACATGCAGCTGGTTGTTCTTATGGTGTTTACTGTTATTACATGTTCAGTAGTGTCTGCAATGAACAGCCACTATCTTTTGGTGACCAGGGCCTCCTCAGAAATGTTTAACTGCTATATTATTAATATTACGATTTGCGCCTTTATAGGTAGAGAATTGTGTGTAGTGTTTTGCAAGTGTTTTATGGCATAGAGAACTGAGTCAAAGGCTGAGAATTAGCTTGGTTTGCAGATTTGGTGTATGGTTTTGTTCTTTGAGTGACAGGTTTCAAAATTTGTGTGATATATTAAGATTTTGTGTGTAAGCAGTTTTAAAAAAAACTGTATATTGGTTTCATCACATCATTAACAAAGTTATTGTACTTTGTGTATACACAAAGTGTGAACACTTTTGTGTGTTGTGTGTAAACTATGACTGTGCTCCACCTCCATAGGGGGCAGCATTTCACATCTTCGCCCCCGTCTAGTAAATCACATTGTTGTTTTAGTTTTTAGACAATTAGTTTAGATCATACAAGTTATTTATATTCAAACATGTTAGGTCTATTGTGTATATGTATAATAAAAGTAAGGATAGATATTAATATGCCAAAATAAATACAGTATAAATATTGACATGAATATGCTCAATGTCATGGTCTCAGCCTGGAGGCTCCAGGGTTTTGGTTTTTTGGACTTTCTTGGTTTGGTTTTCTGTGTTTTGGGTTTCTGTTCTGGGTTTTTAGTGTTTCTGGTTTGGGTGTTTCTGGTGTCTAGTTTAGTTTTCCCTGTCTTGTGCTCTGTTTCCCCGTGCACTTCCTGTTTTATTTTGATAGTCATGTCGCCCCAGTGTCTGAGTTCTAGTTTTGCTTCCTTTGGTTAATCATCCCTGATGTGTCCCACCTGTGTCTGCTTCCCCACCTGTTCTCCATTGTTAATCAGTTCCGTTCCTTTAAAAAGCCCTTGCTCTGTCTTGTCTTTGTGGTATCATTGTTGGTGGTTAGGTTTGGTGTCTGTTTTGTCATCGTCTCATGTATGGATGTTGTTTTTTTGTTTAAATTCTTTCACTCTGGTTCCTCCCCCGCATCTGAGTCTCTCGCCCTCACCCCTGCCTCATCGGACCTTGACACTAAATATATACAGAATGTGAACACTAGTAACAGTATGAATATTATGAAATGTAAATGCAAGGAAATGAGGAGTAAACAACTAGAGGTATGATAAAAATTCAATGTACAAACTCAGAAGTAAGGCATAACCCTGTTATATGCAACAGTATCAATGATTCCTGGACATTTAAAGTCAGTATCTCAATGTTATGCAGAAGACAGAGATGTTAGGGAAGGGTTGGGAGCTCAGACTGCTGCTAACCTTTGTTTTGATTGTTTCTCTGGTCAGGTTTTTACCGGCAGCGGAATTATCCATAGAGTTGTCCTTTCTCAAACGTATAATGTAGTTTCACTTTAAAAATTAGATTAACCGACAATCTTCAGCAGACACAGGACATGATGTCTCCAGTGGCTGAGAGCTGACCTGTCTAACATCTACTCAGCTTTTTTTCTCTGATAACTTAAGATCCAGATGTCTGATGACTTAAATCCTTCATCTGGTTAAAATATTCAGTTGAAAACCACCAAGGTGTATAAAGTGTATGTGACTTAAACCTAGATAAAAGTCAATTTTGAGCTCCTGGCAGGCAACCACAACGCCACCGATGCGGATAGGGGGTATATCATTGATAGGCGACCAAATGACACGGAGCGTTACCATGATTAAAATCTCTTATTTCATTAAGTTTGAGAATTGCTGGAAACATCTGAGAAAATGTACACAACTCAAAAAATATATAACATAGCTCAAGACATTTTTAGACATTTTAATGTACACAGTTTACATATTATAACTTCAATTTGTGCACAGAGCTGTATTCGGCACTAAGTCACAATCTAGCAAAAAGACACTTCAAGCCCAGTCCCAAGGAATGAAAAGCTTATTTTAGGGCCAATGGAAACACTTGTTCCCAGCAACTTTGCTTCGAAGCCTGTCACACCAATACTAATACCAGTGTCTATGGCCAGACCGACTGTAGCCTTCATAGGACCAGCAGTGACTGAAGCACTGGCCAATTCTGCTCTTGCATAGGCTGCAGCACTGAGAGACCCAGCAGAGACTCCGGCTCCAATGCTGGCATTGGGCCCCTTGACCTCAGCATCAAAAATACTCCATTCAGCTCGAGCATGGCCCACTCCTGCAGCAGCGTGAAATCCTGCACAGGGAATACGCTTTTCAGGTTTGTTCTGAGGTGGCTCTTTATATTCCTTGGCATGTGCATAATTGCCAACACCAAAAATTTTGCTGGGCCGGTCACAGGTGTCGATCATGTCCAGTAGTCCGAGTAGACGAACAGAAGCTTCCAAACCTCTTTTCACATTAACATGTCCTGCAAGCAAAGAAATTTCATCTCAAAGATGACTAAAGATGATGTTACCTGTAGAAAGATATTTGTGGTGTGGAGATTGCAAGAATACTATAGTAATATTTTAGAAAAAAAATATGTACTATTATGAGAATTATGTAAAATCATATTTCAAAAGTAATACTTTGATTAAAAAAAATTGTTATATTCAATAATATAATTATGACAAAATATAAAGCATTGGGCTTTAATCGTCTTTCACAGCCATTAACTTCTGTCTCGACGAAGTCCTTGCTCTGTTCTAGCTGTACCCTGCTATGTCACTAAGAAATCATGTTCAGTTCAATATGACTGACAGTAAAACAAATGGAATGGAATTTGTTGAAACTGTTAGTTTCCCTGTGGGACCTGCCTCAAGTGGAATGAAAATAACTGTGATAATGGAAATACACTGTATACATTTATAGCAAATATATTTTACATTATATAAACAGCATAAATGTGATACTAAAATTATGAAAACCTCCACAATCCTGTGTGTTGGATTTTCAACATTAAAACAATGAATACAAGGAGCGTCGAGTAGCTCAGTTGGTTGAGCATCCGCCCCATGTGCAGAGGCTAAGGTCCTCGCTGCAGTTGGCCCCAGTTCAAGTCCTGCATTGGACAGCCCTTTGCTGCATGTCATTCCCCCTCTCTCTGCCTCCCCATTTCCTGTTCTCTCTACTGCACTGTCAATAAAGGCATAAAAGGCCCAAAAAAATAATTAAAAAAAAAACAATGAATACGAGATACAGTAATGTTTCATTTAACTCTATTTAGAAATGAGACTTAACTGTAGCTCAGTGATTGTTTCAGGTTGGAGCTGTAGGCTGAACACTGAGCTTCAAAAAAAGTGCACAGTTTGGTCAATAGTGTAAAATGCCATCATAATATAAAGTAAACTTACTAACCATAATGATATTGTGTGCCGTGTGAAAGATGTTATACCAGCTGAACTGCTGTACTAACTGCTCCCATTCAAGGGTATAAACTACAAAAGGTTCCTCCTGTCTGTGTGTGTCTGTGTGTCTGTGTAATTACATTATTCATGTTGTGAGGATGTAAGACACTGCGTGTGACTGAGAAAGAAACTGAAAGTAAACAAGCTTCAACAACAGTTTCAGAACAAAGGTTCAATCATAAAGACATAGACGGATAAAAACTGAGTGGAGGTAAAACACAAATGCAATACAGTTTAACAGCACCACAAACTGCTGCCTCCAACTAAAAACAGATAAAAAAAACAAACAAAATAATAATTATTTCATTAATTTAAAAGAAGATAAATATTTGAACTGATTACAGAACACCTAACAACACCTAACCTGCTGATATTTAAATATAATATCAGCACTATATGTAAACACGACATGTTTATGCTAGGAGAAGAGAACCGCAGCCGTTCGTATTTATAATGGTCAGTTTTCCCTGGATGGATGTGGGGACCTTCCATTTCCGAAAAACGGATCTCCATCCTGTGGAAAAGAAAGTAAAAGTAAAAAACTAAAGCTGACCTCATCCTCTGAAACTACACACTGGTCAACGAGCAGCATATTTTGTATCTAATTGTTGGAGTAAAGTTCACGAAAATGAATGTTTAGTTGACAAATCTAGATTTGAATCCAGGCCATAATAACCTGGGCTGCTCTAACTGAGCAACAAGGCCAAATAAATGTCTTCAATGCTCAAAACTGAATATTAGGCCAACAGAAGAACATTGACTCAAATTAGATTAATTTCCCTTAAGGAATAGCATCGTAGGATAAACAACATGGACATATACTGTATATGCACAGTGGCAAGAAGAAGTAAGTTACTTTTTCTTGCCACTGTATATATATATATTTACATAATAATTTAAGTAATTGTAGCTCCTGTTTTGTTTTTTGTTTGTTTTGTTTTTTGTTGATTTTTTATTCAATAGAGATTTTAAAGCTTTATGAAAAAAGAAAAAAGAAAATTACATTAACCTACCCCATGTGAACCTACACAGTACAGGACACAGATATAAATCTAAACAGTTCAGCCTTGCTGTTATTGAGGCAGGCATGGAAGTCATTTTATAGCCTCTCATTCAGTCTGCAGACAACTGTCCTTGCTTCTTTTCCCTCCACTTCCCCAGCCTCCTGCTGCATTAGCAGTTAGTACATGAAATTAAAAACATATCAAAATATTGCACAAATTAAAAATTTGACCTGATGATGGCAATAGATAAGCCAGATGATTACCAATGATATTATATTTCATGTTGAGGGTCTGTACAAAATATCAATTATTGTCAATGGTTGTTGAGAAATTTCACTCAGAACCACAAATTTCAATATCATGGTGGCACTAGAGGAAAATTCATGGAATTACCAAAGTCATTAAGATTCATTCCCTGGGGAACATAAATGTCTACACCAAATTTAATGAGAATCCATCACAAAGATGTTGACATATTTCAGTCTGGATCAAAGTGTTGGACCGACTGACTGACCGACATTTTCATCCCTACAGCCAAACTACTAGCATGGCTAAAAATAAAGGGTGGGAGGGTAACTCAACATCAGAGTTCTTCCTCCTCTCCCACACAAGCGAAAAAAACAAACTGTACAACAGCCCCATGCCCAGATTTGGGACGTTTTCGAAGTCTTACACTATGACCCCTTCAGATTCAGATTCAGATTTTGTCTTTCCTGTTATTATTCTTTGTCTTACCTCTGCCAAACTGTAACTAACTCTAACTAACAAAACTAAAAGATTATTACATTTTGGCACACTGGCACCATTAAAAGTATGGCTCATAGCAGCTTCTATTTGCAATGTAGCCATAGACGCACAGACAGCAATCACTGGAACTGAATTGAATTGAAATTAATTGAATTTATTGTCCACCTCTGTGGAAATTTGACTTCGGCCTCTCCAAAGGAATGTACAATACAAAAAAAAATACATAAGATCCACATTACAAAACATGCCATTAACAACGTATAACATGTACAACATATGATAGTGCAAATGAGCAGGTAGCAGCAGATGGGTTAAATAAATAAATACCAAAGAGCAAAGAATACTTTGATAATGAGGAAAACTTAAAAATCACATAAACGTTTTAAAATACTGGCATATTTCCAGTACTGGTATATTTATAGTACTTGGCATGTTTCCCGTAAATGTGACCATTCTGACTCTGCAGATCATGCTAAATTAACATGATTTTGTAGCTCATTCATGTTGCAGCAGAATTAAAATAATGTTGCATTGTTGCCATGCTAGCATTAGCATTTAGCTCAACGCACAACTGTGAGTAAGTGCAGCCAAACAGGGTGTCTAGCACGGCTGTAGACCCTCACCCTTGTTTACATTTTATTTATTGAGTTAACTGTTCAGTTATAGCTTTCTCTACACATTTCTTCATTTATTTCTTAATGTTAGCCCTGAACTACTTATCAGTGTTTATATTTAATTCTACATGATGATAATTTACTCTGTAGCATAAAATGAAAACAACTCTACTGCCATTTTATTCAATGTAGAGTATCATTTCACTCAATTATTATTTAATTATCCAAGTAAATATCCACTGAATGTTGTCTGAGTGATGGACAGAAAGGGGCAGGCTAACTTAACATAACTTAACTAACATAACTTCATTGTCCTCATTGGTAGGTGATCAGTGATCACACATGTAGACAACAGCCCCACTTCTCTTGTTCTTGTCCCCTTTCTGCTCTTGTTATCTTCCCTCTGTTTCACCTGAACCACGGTTCTCAAATACTTTGGCCTACATTGTGATATGAGACTTTCTATTATTAACTGACAGACACAGGAATAGACAATAAACAGTCAGTACAGAGGCACAAGCACACGCTTTATTCTCTGCATTTATGCAAGCGTCGGTGACTGTGTGGTGAGGTTTTATCCCTCGCAGGCTCAGCCCTGTCTCACTCCCCCCTGTTATGTATCACGGGAGCAGTAGGTGTTGCCTGCAGGGGACTTGGGAAGGTGAATCACACTGATATGAGCACACAGCACTGGCACATGGGAAGTGACACCAACCTCATCTCACATCATCCCACTTCTAACACTTATCCATGTCCTTCAAAGGTCGCTGGATGAATCAACATTGTGTAAAAGGCCACAGAAAAATCCACTGGCTAAGGTCACTTGTACCTAAAGGCTACAGCAGATTAGAGAAAAAACAACACTGAGGAAAGTTTGCCTTTAGAATATGAAATAGAAAACTATTTGATTTGATTGGATTTTGGGTTTAAAGTGAAGGGCAGAAAAAAAACCACATGAGACATCTAAAAAAAAAAAAATCAGTCATAACAAGTCATATTTTATCACCAGGCAAGAAAATGAGATGTTCTCATTTTCAACTTGTTCCCATTCCCTCGTCTGGCACCTTCCCCCCCGATGTACTGCAGCTCCCACACATGTCTGGGAGTGTGACTGTCTCTTCTGTGTCGTACTGGCTAGACTAAAGCCATGTGTCTTGGTGGACCAGATACACAGAGAGGCAGATGGCAATAAAGACACAAATAAAGATATACTCATAAATGTAAATAGAAACACAGACTCAGACAGAGTTCTGTGTGTTTTATCAGCTGGCATCTCAGTACAGCTTCTTTTCACAGAGCTCACAGTCTCCTTGCTTGATGGAAAAGGAGTGAGGCTGTTCCCAAAAGAGGAGATGAGGACAGATATCACCAGAACAGAGAATGAGAGGAAAGGTAGATAAGCACAATTTTTTTTTATAAAAACATGTTAAAAATGTGAGAGGAACAGCAAGAAACCAAAAGAGATGTAAAGAGAAATGATAAGAGAGAGGAGTGGGACAGATTGGAATACAGAAGGCAGAGATGGATTATGCCTGGCAGAGAAGAGGGTGTTTTTGCTGGGGGAGCACTTTATGAAATCTCCCCTACAGCTCACTGTCTGCACTGATGAAATGCTCTGCTGCATTTTAAACCATCCCCCAGCTAACCACTGAAATTGTGCTGTTGAGAAAGGAACGACAGTTTAGAGATTCTTCCCCTCAATCTTTTGCTTTGTAGCTACTGCAAACGAACAACCCCACCAGACTGGCTTTGCCTGCACAGTGAAACATTTACCAAAATATATGATGTTGCTAAAAAAACGCCATTCCTTTAACTGCTGAGTGCTTTCCCTCAGTAGATGCACAGCGGTTCTATCTTTCCTTGGAAAGTGCTGCCCTCTGCTGTGTAGAAAAAATATCTGCTATTTAGAAAACATTTCTCACAATAATGCCAGCCATTTTATAAAACAGATATTGTTATGCAAAAAGGAAATACCATAACTGTATATCACCATATTATTTCAACAATCAAACTTCTCTAGTGATAAAGGAGCATCTCCTCCAGTCACACGGATTCACCGCAGCCCCTCTCCCCTACCAACTGGACACTTGGCCCTCCATTCTCCCTCAGCGGGGCCTCTTCTTGGCTGCTGCTCTGCTGACTGTGCTGAGCTTGCTCTGAAGCCTTCAATTGTCTCTGGTAGCGCCGATTTTCCTCTGGGTAGGAGACCACAGACAGAGGCAGTCTGCAGATGGCCGGGATCTCAGAGGAAATGAGGAGGAAGATGAGAGTCGACAGGCAGAAAGGCCACGTGCAGGCCGGTAATGCAAGCTGAAAGGGGATGCCATCGGAGAGCAGAGCGTGACACATGATATGAGAGACATCTGGGTGTTCAAATGATGTTCATAGAGTTTGACTTGGTGGAGAAAGTTTCTTACTTACCACAGACATCAATTTTGAGCTTGCTGAAGTCATGTATGCACAGAAAAGTGCTGGAAAGAAACACAATTTCACATTTGAAATGAATGACACTTTTTTGTGCAGCATGCCAACTGAAGATACTGATCATACTGTCAATCTTACCACATATTAGAGCCAGTACGTGGGTTTCCCATGTTATAACATAGAAGACCCCTCCAACAGCAATGCAGGATAGAGCACTGTTATATCCCCACAGGCCAGAGTAAATGTCCCTGTGAGGAGCTGCCAGAGCAAATCCTGCACCATGCATCAGAGGAAGAGAGGACAATATTACCCATGAAATGTTTTATTAAATAGCAAACAACTGCACAAACTTGAAAACTGAGTCACCACACAAAGGCTGTACAGCAGCGGTCCCCAAACTTTTTTCAGTGGGGGCCCAACATCACTTCCTTTCTGGAGATGGGGGCCGAGGTTAGTCCTATAACAGGAAAATGATATGGGGCCAGGGTGACAACCAGTATTATTGGTTGGAGATTAACATGATAATTTGTTGTAGCTGCCCCTTTTGTTTCGGCTTTGGCACCAACCTGTTGAATTCAAAAAAAAGTAATAAAAAGTCTTCACATGTGTTTATTTGAAAGTACAGCAGAATACCCCATTTATTTATAGAAATAACACACAAAACTGATGGGTGAATGCCTGGGGGGTGCTGCCAGGTAGCCGCCGGCGGCTAGCTCTGCTTGGCATGGGCCGGGGGGGGGGGGGAGTGCTGGGCGGGGGCGTGTTGACGCGGGCGCAGTGCGGGGGGGGGGGGGGGGGGGGGGGGGGGGGGGGGGGGGGCGGGGGGGGGGGAGGGGGGGGGGGGGGGGGGGGCAGGTGGGTGGGGGGGAGGCGCTGGGGGGGGGCAGCGGGCGGTCGCGGGAGCCGCGGGCGCTAGCTCTGCTTGCATGGGGGTCGGCAAGTGAGCCTGTGCCGGGGGGGATGGTCGGGGGGGGGGGGGGGCCGCCGCAGGGGGCGAGGGGGGGGGGGGGGGGCGCTGGCGCATGGGCTGGGGGGGGGGGGGGCGGGCGGGGGTGTGGCTTGTGGGCAGCGTGTCGACGGGGCCGTGGGGGGGGGGGGGGGGCCACGGGGGGGGCGGGGCAGGGCGCGCTGGGGCATGCCCGGCGGGGTGCGGGGGGGGGGGGGGGGGGGGGGGGGGGGGGAGTGCTGGGGGGGGGGGGGCGCCGGCAAGGCCGTCCGCGGCGCTAGCTCTGTTTAGCTGGGGCAATGCCTGGTGCCGGGGGGTGGTGGGCGGGTGGCGCCGGCAGGCGCGAGTCTTGCTGGGCGCAGGTAGTCTGGCCGGTGCCGGGGGCGCGGGGGGCTGGGTACGCGCCGGGCGGGCTAGCTCTGCTTGCTGGCCGCAATGCCTGTGCCGGGGGCGGGGGGTCGCGGCGCTATGCCGGCGCCGCCAGCGCTAGCATTCTCTTGCCTGGGGCAATTGCCTGTGGCCAGGGGGGGGGGTGTGGGGCGGGCGGGCGCCGGGCCGGCTAGCTCTGCTTGCTGGGTGCAATGCCTGTGCCGGGGGGGGGAGTGCGGGGGTGGGGGGTGGGGGGGGGCCGTGCGGCCCGGGCCCCAGGCGCTAGCTCTCTTGCTGGCGCAATGCCTGTGCCCGGGGGGGGGGGGTGCTGGCCGGCCCGCCGGCGGCTAGCTCTCCTTGCTGGGCGCAATGCCTGTGCCGGGGGGGGGCGGCCGCCGGGCGCTAGCTCTGCTTGCTGGGCGAAATGCCTGTGCCGGGGTGGGGGGTGCTGCGGCCCGCCAGGCGGCTAGCTCTCCTTGCTGGGCGCAATGCCTTGTGCCGGGGGGGGGGGGTGCCGGCGGGCCGCCGGGCCGTCGGCTAGCTCTCTTGCCTGGGCGCTAATGCCTGGCCGGGGGGGGGCCGCCGGCGGGCCACCGGCGGCTAGCTCTGCTTTGCTGGCGCAATGCCTGTGCCGGGGGGGGGGGGGCGCCGGCGGGCCCCGGCGGCTAAGCTTCTGCTTGCTGGGCGCGCAATGCCTGTGCGGGGGGGGGGGAGTGCCGGCGCGGCGGGGCTAGCTCTGCTTGCTGGGCGCAATGCCTGTGCCGGGGGGGGGCGCGGGGCGCGGGCGGCCCACCAGGGCGCTAGCTCTGCTTGCTGGGCGCAATGCGTGTGCGGGGGGGGGGGGGGGGCCGCCGGGCGGCTAGCTCTGCTTTGCTGGGCGCAATGCTGTGCCGGGGGGGGGGGCGGCGGCCACGGCGGGCTAGTCTGCTTGCTGGGCGCAATGCCTTGCCGGGGGGGGGGCCGCGGGCCACCGGCGCTTAGCTCTGCTTGCTGGCGCAATGCCTGTGGCCGGGGGGGGGGGGGGGCCCGGGGCTAGCTCTGCTTCTGCGCATGCCTGTCGCGGGGGGGGCGCCGGCGGCTAGCTCTGCTTGCTGGGGGCGAATGCCTGTGCGGGGGGGGGGGGGGGGGCGCCGGCGGGCCGCCATGGGTCACCATTAAGACTAGTGTGAATGTCACAACATGGAAAGTTTTGTCCAAAGTCCACAAGTTGGTGTCTACGGACTCGGCTCGTCACGCTGAGTAACATATGTCAGCCCCAGGCTTCTAAGTCGCTCCCTTTGGAAGGGATGCCTCGTTAAACATCTCCGAGGCCCCGCTTGAGCGACGAAAAATTTTGTCAAAAGTCCACAAATTGGGTGTCTACGGACTCGGCTTCGTCAACGCTGATAACATATGTCAGCCCGACAGCTTCTGAGTCGCTCCCTTCCGAAGGGCTGCCATGGGTCATCTCTCATATGCTGAGGTGCCAACACCAGCGGTCCCCAAACTTTTTTCAGTGGGGCCACATCAACTTTCCTTTCTGAGATGGGGGCCGAGGTTAGTCTATAACAGGAAATTTTTTGGGCCAGGTGACAACCAGTATTATTGTGGAGATTACAATGATAATTTGTTGTAGCTGCCCTTCGTTTGGCTTTTGGCACCACCTGTTGATTTGCAAAAAAAAGTAAATAAAAAGTCTTCAACATGTGTTTATTTGAAGTACCACAGATACTCCATTTATTTTATAGAAAAATAACAAACGCAAACTGATGGTATGTTCAAGTAAGATGAGGTGATGTGATTTTGTAACAGGTACAGTTGAGTTACACAAACGGTAAGTGTTTCTGTCTTTACAGGTAGTGAAAATAATATTAATACAGAATAGTGGTCAGAATCAGGTATGAAACATGTTGCCTATAAAAATGAGCATTACTATAATGACATTTTTTAATATCTATTGCTATTGAAATCAGTAGGCTTACCATATCAGTGTGAGCTGTGGGCTTGCCTTCTGACTGGTGAGGAGATCGATGTCAAGGTTCCATTTCCAGTTACAGCCAGTCTCAGAGACTGATGCAGGTGTTGATCTGTGAGACTTGATCTCGTCGGATTTTTTATTCAGCTTCATGTGTGAAAAAGTTTGCTCACAGATATATGTGCTCCAAAAAACTGTGGACATCTTTGTTGCGTGCATTTCCTTATGTTGGGGTAGGTCTCATTTGGGAGGCAGCATAGTATTGATCAGACTGTTGGGCTGAATACGTTTTCAGCACATCAAGGTCTGCAACTCCAGCCAGCTCAAAATTGAAGAAGAGGCAGGGTGTCGTTAATGTCGGCAGCAAAAGGAGTTCTGGAATGTGCGCGGATTTCCTTTAACGTGGACATGAAGCTACGGAACAGGCAACACCACGAACTCACGCCCCTGCAGTGTTCCAGATGCGTCCTTTGCACTTCGGTTGGGAACGGGACCGCCGTTTCTCAGCTGAGAGGCTTCGAGTAGCAGGGAGATGGGTGAAGTCTTTGTTTTTGCACCTGTCCAATAAGCAGCGCTAGTTTAAGCTCAAATACTTTGATGTGGGAATACATGTCAGATTAGTTTTCCCTTGCCTTGGAGCTGCAAGTTGAGGCCGTTTAAAATTTCTGACACATCTGTTAAAAAGGCGAGGTCCCATTTCCTCATTCTGTGTTGATCAGCTCTGGGACAGTTTTTTCCCTTTGTCAGGAGAAAGGCATTGATTTCGGGTAGCTGGTCGTAAAAACGCTTCAAAACTCTGCCCCGGCTTAACCAGCGACTTCAGTGTGGTAAAGCACGTCTCCGTGGGCTGATTCTAGCTCGAGAGAAAGGGCTTGGA